GCTTATGCTAATGAAGCCCGGGAAATTCAAATCCCGGGCTTCATTAGCAAGTGCGGTATGCATACATTACCCTCCTAGTTCGAACTAGGAGGGTAGTGTAGACATACCCTAAGAGGCTCCAGCTATCTAAAATGCAGACATTTTTAACGTAGGCATTTAGGGCCATATGTTCCTGGAGCTAGCACACTATGGAGTAAAGAAATGTGTTAGAACTTACTACAAATCCCGCCTGAAAATGCTATGCAAAAAGCAGAACTCCATTGATAATATTGCTATATCTCTACACAATTACAGTCCCTCAAATTGCATCCAGGCAGTCAGAATGTTTGCCTCGGACTAACAAAATCCCAACAAATAATTGAAGTGTGTGAAGAAGTGAGAATGTAATCAGAAAAAAGTCAACAGGTTATATCTGCTATAGATGCCAGGAAAAAAAATAACTTAAAGGAACAAACGAAAATACTGCTTAGCCACTAGTAGTTTGCTACTGATAGACATCTCCATCTTGGTGTTACATAAGTGGATGGGATGGCATGACTCTGAGATCTAGTTTACACTAGGAAAGGTTTGTTGGCAGTACTACGCCTTTATAGTTACACAGAAAAATTCTGATTTAGATGCAGTTTTACCAGGAAAAAAGTGTCTATGTTAATAAAGTTTACTCCAGTTCGGCTAGCAAAATAAGCTATAGCAGCACTTTCTTTCCAGTATAATTGAACCTACACTAGAAAAATTGCTGGTATAGAAATGTTGCAAAAACCATTTCCCCTGCCAACACTGCAGCACTGGCAAAAGTTTCTAGTGGTCTTAATCTCATGTCAGTGGATGCTCAGTTACACAAGGTAGGAGTAAGTTGAGACCTCAGTATAGTTATAATGGATAACATCATTTCTCCAGTAGTTCAATTGATTAAGAAGTTTTGATTATTGCCTATCCATTTATACATCTGTCTACGTATATGCAGCCCTCATCATGATTGGATCTATGCATATCTATAAATGCAAGGTAGCCAATACAATAGTATCTGTTCTCTTGTTATAAACATATAGCAGTTTATGCCAAAAGAAAAACAGAAAAAGTCTTCTTTTAATTACTTTAATTGAAATTTTCTTATGGGTGAATTTTCTTATGGGCCTGACCAGCGGGTTCAAAATGTGTCAGTTTAGGAGAAATAAAGTCCTATTTATTCACGGCATGGTGAGGAGGGGCAGTAGTTCTGCCAACTATCTATGACTGTGCCTCAACCCTAATATGGACAGACTAACTTTAGAAGTAAGAAGACATTCGTTCAGTCCTCATACTCTTTCATGCTGATTTACTTACCCAAACTGCCAACAATAATACATGTTTCTGTTAACTGTCTTCACGTTGGTAGCTGCTGTACTTTACGAAATTATAGTAAATCCAAAGTAGAATCAATTAAAAGCTCCATTAATAAGAGGCCACATCAGCCATTTTTATACAACTACCCATTACGTATGTATTACATAGCAGGGTCCACTGGTAAAACACTGTACAGATTGAAACTCTCATAACCGTGATTCTCTGGCCCAGCAACAGCCATGATCCAGCAGGGATGTTGCAGAACCAGAGAGTCCTGGAGGAGGCAAGGATCCCTGTGGGGCTGGTAAGGCAGAGGGCTGGCCACAGCATGCTGACAGCAGGGCCACCCAACACATGGCAGCGGGGCTGCCTAGCGGGATTGGGAGACCCAGCACTTGGCTGCCTAGTGGGGCAGGGAGCTGTGGTGCGTGCACCTGCCCCATGGTTCTTGGAGCCCCAGCACTGAGCACAAGGCAGCCTAGATGGTCCCGGAGCCCCAGTGTGGTGTGTGTGGCTATCCAGTGGGTCCCAGAGCCATGGCAGCAATGCCTGACCAGCGGGGCTGGCAGGGCAGCAGGGCTAGCAGGAGGTGAGAAGCCAGCTGGGAGGCCAGGGGGCTGGGGTAGGGTGGCCAGTGGCAGAGGTCCAGAAATGACCTCCCATGGTCCAGCAAAATCCCTCATCTGTGAAGGGTCAGGTCCAAAGGGTGCCAGACCAGGAAGGTCCAACCTGTATAAGTTATACATGGAAAAATCCCATTTACTGTAGAGGAAATCACAAAAGAACATCAATCAACATATTTCCTTTCCTAGCATTTCATTAAGCTTCCTAATGTGTTTTGTAAAACAACAGTTAAAGTGAATTAATCTTCAGAAAACAGTGTAATGGCTGACAGTTTGTAGTAGGCTGTGTTGGGATTAGCCATCAATGATCCTTATTGATTTTGGACCAGAGGCCGAAATACAGGTCAGGAGACATCACCAAGAGGCACATCACTGTCAATGGGAGAAACAGAAGTGTAATATCCTCTCCCTCATTTTCCAAACTGACCTTCATTCTTTAATCTATCTGTCATTCGTCTCCATTTTTTTAAATTCCATTTCTCCTTCTCTCCCCTGGTGGGCTTTTTGTCCCATTCATCACAGCCTAGCTGTACTTTTTCCTACCAAAGTTGCCATCACAGATGAGACATCTTTCTTTTCCTTGTCCCCATTCCTCAATTTTTCCATACCTCTTCCCTTCACTTCTCGTATTAGGTTTAGTCCACTATAATAAGAAAAGAGACTTTATTCTAATCCCTGAAAGTAAACCTGTTCACAATCTCTGGATATATATTACATGTTAGCTCTAAATTTACTCTTTTGGCTCACTGCGGAAAGGGATGCCATTTCTCTTGGCCTGCTGAAAGCTGCTGAGCTGTGGTCAGGAAGGATCTAGACCGAGTAGTAGACCTGAATTGTATGCAATGAGTGTCAAGGTGGAAAGTAAGAAAATAGTACACTTGGGGTACGTCTTCACAGCAACATTATTTCAAAATAACTAGTATTATTTAGAAATAACTTAGCTCCATCTACACAGCAGTCAGTTATTTTGAAATAATGTCAAAATACTGTCAAACTGGAGGACTTCTTACTCCAACTCCTGTAGCCCTCATTGTATGAGGAGTAAGGGAAGTCAGAGGGAAGAGTGCTCTATTTTGAAATAAGTGCTATGTAGATGCCCCCAATTTTGAAATAAGCTATTTCAAAATAAGCTACGCAACTGATGTAGCTCAATTTGTGTAGCTTATTTCGAGTTAAACCCTGCTGTATAAATGCACCCTTGGGGTGCATCTACACAGCAAAGTTATTTCAGAATAATGGTCATAAGTCGACCATTCGCAACTCAGGGGCCCTCTGTAGAAAGAAATGTGGTTCTACGGAAGTGTGCTGCATCAAACATCACCAAAAATGTGTGTCCCCTATTGCCAAAATGAACAAAATCTTACGGATTTATACTGCCTCACATCACCACTTCAGTGCCTTCTATGTTAAACCAATAGAAATAACAAAGTCTCTAGCAAAGTCCATGAAATTTTTAGTATTTCTCCCTTTTCAGAGTAAAAATGATGCATGGCATTATGTTTTTGAGGATAACAGAGTCCTTATGATTTCTGCTGGTAGGGGAAGAGTATGCTCAGAATAGCAGAACTAAGTAAAATACTGGCAGTATAATTTATTGAGTACAACCAACAACATTATGAGCATACTGTTTGTCCAGAAAATTGCAGAAATATATTGCTTATGAAAAGAACAAATACTGAAACAACTTGCAACTGCATATGTTGAGACACAATTCTTTCATGTTTGACATTCAGTATCATGTGGTCAGGAGAACATCAGTTCTCATACTAGCAGTGTTGAAAGAAGCTGAAAGATGGTTCATTAATTCAGAGACCCCTTCCAGATACAAGAATAATGGCACTGTTAACCTTTAATTTTGTAATAACTTCACTCAAATCTAGGCCATTGTTTAATCAAATGACTAAATACAGACAACCCACCCGCTGAACATCTTCTATGTGTTACCAGAAATGATCACAAACCTTTAGAGGAGCGGAAGTGCTTGCTAGGTGCTGTGAAGCCTCTTGTCCCATGCACATTAATGGCAGCCGCTGGGTCTTATGTCAGATAGTTGTACTCTCTCATCTGTAGTCTGGTGGGGGAAATATCATAAAACACAGACTCCTTTTATTCTGAAATGTTACATTTGCAGTCTCTCATCTGATCCAACACTCAGTTTGCTCAGTGGGGTTTCTGAGGTTGAAGACATTGGCGAAATTGTTTAAAGTGCATATAAAACTGCAAGAACATAAGTGCTGGCAGATTCCATGCAAACTACCTTGCATTACTTTGCAAGCCCACCTCAGTCACAAGCTGCTGCTCACCTGCAATTCTGAGCAAAGGCTTCTTACTGTGCTAATCTGTACAGAGCAGTGTGGATTTTTATTTATTATTTTTTTAAATCAGTTTAAGTGGCAAAGCTACTTTTTCTTGTGACTTACGTGACAAGATTCTGGTCGTCGCTACACCAGCATATATTATGGGGAACTGGATGGAAATTCTTTCCAATTATAATTACTGTGGAAATCAGTCTGGAGGATGAAATCTCCATAAGGTTCTTCTTGCAGAGATGGAGCAGCATTTGTTTCTAGCAGAATAAACATTGAGGCCTATCCAAAAACACCATACATCCTAAGGAATGCATAGAAGGCAGAGTCTGCTTTCTGAGTGGATATATGGCCATCCCCTATATCCACCAAATACAGCATATCCACCTCAAAGTGAGGCCCCACTATAGCCATCCTACCTGCCTCAGCTATAGCTGCATCTTGGATCTATTTTTAAAGAGGATCTTAATAGAATCACAGAGTATGAAGTCGGAAGGTACAATTGCAATATATTATAGTCCAGGGGTTCTCAAACTTTAGTGACCCTTTTCTGACAAAAATTACTACATATTGCTCTGTGTCAATGACCCCTCCTCTGAATTATTTAAAACTCCTCCAGTCTTTGTGTTACCTACAAACTATCAGTTATGGGTTTTTCCCCATGTCATTGAGAAAAAATGTTAACTAGTATAAGGGCAAGAATAATCCCTATGAAATGCACCTAGAAACACGCCCATGCAATAATGATTCCTTGTTTGCATTTACTTTACGAGATCCACCATTTGGCAGTTTTTAATCCAATTAATGCATGCTGTGTTTGAATTTGTCTAATTCTAGAGTCTTAATAAAAAGTGTAGTGCCAAATTAGATGCCTTATAGATATCTTAATTCAACATTATTACCTTTCTCAACCAAACTTGTAATCTAATTTTTAAAAGGAATATCAAATTAGTTAGACAACATCTATTGTCTGTTAATCCGTCTTCCCAGTATCAGATCTATTACTGAGACGCTATGAATACAAATCTGTGGGGCGTACAGCTTTGTTCCACGAGGCGTACAGCTTTGTTCCACTAGTCTGTGCCGCGTGTACCGCGCAGCACGGAGTCCGAACTAGCCGGCATTTAAAAATGGCGCCGGTCAGCTTTATGCAAATGAAGCCTGGGAAATTCAAATCCCGAGCTTCATTTGCAACTCTGTATGACTACGTTACCCCCCCTAGTTCGAACTAGGGAGGTAGTGTAGACATACCCTAAGAGACATGAATTCCAAGGCCAGAAGGGATTATTGTAATTATCTAGTCTAGCCTCCTTTGTTTTATACTGGCCGAAGAACTTCCCCCAAATAACTCCTAGAGCAACAATTGCAAACTTTTTGAGCCAGGCCCCACCTCCAGACTTTTGAGTTACAATTTTTATTTGCACCCTCCCCCAACCTAGACAAAACTAGACATAATATGTTTCCTTCTGTGTTTGGGATTGTCACTCAGCCCCCTGAGTGTTCTTCCACACCCTCACCACCATGAGGGGCACACCCCTGGTTTGAATGCCTGTGTCCTACTGCTGATCTTTTGGAAAAAACATTCAGTCTTGATTTAAAAATTGCCAGTGATAGGGATCCCACCATGACCCTGGATAAATTGCCTACCTCTCCAGTCTTTGTTTTAAGCTATTGTGATTATGGAATGCTCCAGGCCCAGCCAACTGCTGCTGTTGCCAGCTCTTCTCCCTCCATCTGGATGCTCAGATCTAGGACTTCCTTAACTTATTTCTGCAGCAAGAGTGGAGGCTACAGACCTTTCCTGCCTGCTTCTAAATCATATTATTCAGTATCATTTTTAGTAGAAATTCTATATATCAAGGAAACAAAATAGTGTGTGGTATAATATTAAATACTGTTTGGCTGAAATTCATTACACACCTGCAGTACTATGAGCTTATATGAGAGACCATTAAACAATAATTATACTAATTCTAATATTACATTGGAGCTGTTACCCCTTCACCATCTCTTTGTTAAGCTAAAGAATTTGAACTCTATCACTATAAAGTATGTTTGATATTCATATGTTATTGTCCTATAATACCTAACCTCAAATGTTTAAGTTATGAAAATGAGTAGCATAAGGTACATTAACACAGCCACTTATGATACTGTACAATATATTTATATGGTAATTGATCTTTCAGCCTCATTTTGGTGCCCTGTATCAATCTACACATCTAAAATAATATATTTTGCCAAAAATATGTAGAACGGCAAATTATGCTGTGGCAGTTTTAGAATGGTACTAGGAAAAAGCTATGAAAAAAAAATTCCTACATTAGTGCAATGACCAATTCGCATATATTAAATAATATAATGCAACTTTGTTTTTTGTGCATTTGTTATGCACATTGTGCGCTAATGATGGTTTCTACATTTTTTTTTAAAAGCAGGATTTTTAAAATTAGTATTATAGTTCAGAACTGATAGGATCTCAATTACCCTTGGTCCACTAGTTACAAACATGATAATAAACCTATTTTTTTAATTAGCTAAAAGAAACTGTGATAATTTAGAAGCAGCTATTGCACACATTTTATTCCCACAAGCACACACAAATCCAGATCCTTGGCTCCAGTGTCAGTCACTTTCCATGAGCACATCTTCCTCATCCCATAAAACCTGAGCTTAAGAAACGGCTGTATCAACAAGCAGCAGCACCACCATAACTTTGAACTAGAGGAAGATGTGCTGGCCTAGGAAGCCAAGAAGAGACCACTGACTTGTGTCAATAACACCATTCCCTTCACCTAACTGATTACTGATCAAGGCCTCATACCTAAAATTTAGGAGGTAGTCAGATATAATTAATGTCATTTTATAGCTAGGGCAAGCCTAGGGCTGCACATAATCATTTCAGCTAGGATTAGGACTCTAACCCTGTCTCTAATATGGCAAACCAGACTCATCCACTCAGCCAGATTGCCTTTCAGAACAAATGTATCAAATTTGTGCTTGTGCTGTCTGTAACTACTAGCCCATGTTTACCTCCAGAGCCAATCATTCTGACGCTCAGTATTCCACTATGATGTACCAAACAGTTGCATAAGCTGTATGCGGTGTGGTCCAATTGTGATGACAGTCTGGGATCCTCTCAGTTACACTTAAGATTCAAGTAGTAGCATTCTATGCTGTGGAGATGGAAGCTTTGGGATTTATGTTTCCACATCACATACATTTCTGTATTTTTGGGGGGGCGGGGGGCAGGAGCTGTTAAAAAGACACCACGTACATACACATACCTTGGAAATTACATATCATAAACTACATTAAAAGAGCATTACTATTATAGAGTCAAGCACTCAGAAGTTAGGAAATACCAGCATTAAGGTTGCCCAGTCAATCTAAATTCCATCACTTCATTCATATGCAATACGATATAGTTTTAAGTGACACTTTCACATACTGTTTGTTCTGTGGGACTCCTGTGTAATTTATTTCACAAGATTAGCAGCAAATGAAGCTGAAAGTTGTAAGAAGAGGAAGTTGCCTTGTTAAGGTACCACACTGGGACTCCAAAGAGCTGGATTCTATTTCTGGCTCTGCCACAGACTTCTTATGAGACTTTGGGCAAGACGCTGTTCCAGGGTACATGCACAAAGGTACCAGATTAAGGCTGCACAGTCAGGGTTCGTTCTCGCACTTACTAATTTTTTAGCACTTGACTTTACATCCACAATGTACTCTTACTGCAGCATTATTTATATGATTAAGGTACCAGATTAAGGCTCGCACTTACTAATTTTTTAGCGCTTGACTTTACATCCACAATGTACTCTTACTGCAGCATTATTTATATGTAACTTCCGTAGAGAATGAACTCTGATCATCACAGAACTTAAAATCCTGGCTCTACTGGTGGAATTTCTTTTTTCTCCCCCTTTGTTACCGCTACAAAGACATTTCCCTGCTCTTTTAAAAAATCGTGATTTTTATTTCCTTGTCCGCAATGATGCGGATGCAGCAGTCAAGGTTACCTGCTGGAATTATGCCAGGTGCGCTGTTAAGAAACAGACAGAAACAGAGAAGGAATTAAGTGAAAATTTATATCAGTTGGCTGCTTTTCATTAAAAAAGCACTTGTATATGAATAATATATATATTTTATGGATTGTTATGAGTGATAAGAGCATGACATCACAGGGTTTGCTGAACTGATAGATAAATGCCACGGAAAATACAATTTAAAGAAAGCAGACCAAACAAAAATATGTTATATTCTTTTTGCACTTTGTTTTTTTTTAATATAATTTTATTTTATTTTATTTTTAAAGACAATTGGCTTTTATATCAACAAATGTTCTACAATTTTTATTAGAGGCAACCTTTATCTCTGGATGTTATTCTGCTGAATTCAGAAAGCCCTGGGTCAGTCATATGCATCTAGTGTCAAAATTTGGTACCTAAGTCTAAGCTTTCAAAAGTGACTCATGCATTTGGATACTTTTGTTTTTAAATGCCAAACTTGACACATCCTAAAGGAACCTGATTTGTAGACAATGCTGACCACCCACCACTTTAGCCTGTAAGTTAGTGCAAAATGAGCACATAAATATTGAGACATCCTAAACTACTCATCATTTTTTAAAATATAGGTAGAAAAATGTTGTTTTAGGAGAAAGCTTTACATCTTTATTGGTAAACTCATACTAACTGCTTTTTCACCACTTTCTACATTCTACCGATATAAAATGCTAAAATTATAGCATTTGGTATTTTTATATTAATACTAGAAGCAATAATATACATGTTATGTTATGTTTATGTTATGTTATGACTGAGGGAAATGAAGTTATGTTCACATGAAAAAAAATTGATGGAAAAACATGTCTTACAGCACAGAGAATTGGACCTTGTCTACACTGGCACTTTTGGTCACCTTGTGGTGACAAAACAGTGAGAGCATTTACACTACAATGCAAATTTTGTTGGGAAAAACACCCAGTTTTGGCAACAAAAAATGTTCATCTCTGTAAGAGACTTTGGTCTTTTCCCATCCCTTTACTGTCAACAAGGAGCCAGTGTGGACTCTGCTGTTTGTTTTGTCAAGAGAACTGGCTTCTGCTGGTATACCACAATTCCTGCCCTAATAGGGTGCTCAGTGTTTGGTGATCTCTGCTGCTTTGCAGGCATGCACCCCTCCCCTTTCAAAGCTCCACAGAACATCTGACAGCTGAGTGAGCTAATCCCTTTGGGGAACAAAGAACAAATAATTGAAATGCGTCAGTTCTGCCCTGCATTAGAAACAAAGTGGCAGGCAGAATCCTGCTACAGGGGGAGGGCTGGAGAGAGTGCTGTGCTACTTTGACATACTTTAGCATGGAGATCTCAGGGTATGTCTACACTACCCCGCTAGTTCGAACTAGCGGGGTAATGTAGGCATACC